ATATAGCAACCACTTTATAGTATATTATTATATATTATATAACTCGTTGAAATATGAAAAGGTGAATGTTTTTGAAAAAAAAATAACAATGAAAAAAATACAAATAAATACAACATTCATGACAGCAATTGCAAACAGTAATTAACTCTATTACCTCAATCGAATTCATATCATTGTCAGCAATCTATAGAGGAATGATATTGTAACATCACATAAAATATATTTCTGAAAAATTGACGTTGAACATTTCATTTCAAAGGCCATCTCTTCAAAAAGAAATGTATCCAGATGGGGCAAAAATCACGCAAGCGACAGTTAATCACACCCACGAAAAAGAATATGACGAAGAAGACGGAAATATTTTGGAAAGACAATTTTCCGGTTAGTAGTAATGTACGGTGGTTTGGAAAAATATTTGAATAGCAGATTTTCAGGAACATACAGTAGAAGAGAAAAGGAAAAGTGGAAACACGCCATTGAGATGAAAAACAATCCCTATTCGAAAGAAAATATCGAAAATAGGATAAAGAGATCTAATAGCGCAGTGTCATCCCTGTAAGTATCATGAAAGAAATATTTGCGATGCTATGTTGTGATTTTATTATTAGAATTCGGGCAGATCATAAACTCCTACAATTTTTTTGTCAAAGTATCGTAATTTTGTGACTTTGAGAAAATTCACCCAAACAAATTTATGACGTCTATTTTAGACATGGGGTTGAACTTAAATTTTTCTTGAAACATATTTATTTATTTTTCAATTTATATACACCTTTGGAGTAGTCCCCAACAGATGTGAAATACTTGTGCCATCGTTTTTTCCAATCCTCGAAGCAGTTCTAATATGCACTTTTTGGTATGTCCTTGAGCTCTCACCGATTCGGTTTTTACCTCCTCAATAGTGGCAAAACGTTATCCTTTCACGGGTCTGTTCAATATTGGAAACAGGAAAAAGGCACAGGGGCCAAGTTTGGTGAATACGATGGCTGAGGCATGATAACAATATTGTTTTTGGTGAGATTTGTCAAAGCTGCTTACACGTGACTGATAAATCAGGAATGGAGTCGTATTTCGTGAGAATAATTTATTTGTAAATTAAAAAACGCATTCGGCTTTTATGCCATTATCAGTGCGATACCTGCAAGTAAGTAATAGCCGTGAAATTTGTTTGAAGTTGAACTTTAATTTTTTTTTTAATTACTTACTCGTCAAGCACCAATTGTTTCTTTCGGATTAATAATCTACACGTCAAAATACGTAATAAAATTTGACCATGTCAATTCTGAACGAGAATGGAACGGGTATTGAATGATTTTTTTTCGATCCTGTGGTAAATAACACCATGTTTGACACCCAAACTTGGCCAGGTTATATGATGAAATCTCTACTTCTTATGACACTAGAGACCATTAACATCCTTTTCTATAACAAGTGAAAAAAAAAAGACAAAACAGTTAACGTTTGTTTGAAGGTGGTTGACAATGTTTCGTGGTGTATTTCATCAGTTCGAACTTCCATTGTCTAATATAATATAAATTGATTTGAAATTTCTGAAAAAATATTAAAAAGATTAACCGAAAATAACAATTCTATTGAACAAAAAAAAACTGAAATTACAAAGAAATAACATAAAACCAAACAACAACCAAAAAAATTCAAAATTGAAATATTAATAAAAGCTCAGCTATTAAAAATTATTATTAACAAAAATTGAAAAATAAAAATTAAAAGATTCCAAACCAAGTTATGCGTCACGACGTTTCGATTGTTAGTATCCACAATCGTCTTTGGGTGATAACTGGACTTATTATACGGAAGTCAACTCTATGCTAGTTTGACTAAATGCGTTGTTGGACAACATATATGCNTAGTTGTTTCAGGGATTTCAAATCATTTTATATAGTAGACAATGGAAGTCTGAGCTAGTGAAATTCATCATGAAACATTGTCAATCACCTTCAAACAAGCCAATACTATTTATCGTTTGTTTTCTGATTCTCCAAAAGAATAAAATCCTGCTAATTACTCAGAAACGTCCAATCCGATTCAAAAATGTACACCTGCTTTGGATATAGAATTAAAAGATTTATCAATTAAGGTATCATTAAATCCCCCTTTCCATTTCAGAAGCAAAAATTGATGGGTCCCTTCTCAGCGACGAGTAACGCGGCACTATTTTTTTTTTAATAAAAAGTACTGAAAATGAAGCCTTATTGAGAGTGAACTTTGTCAGATTTTGATATCTAGTTTATTTCAGAAGTAGGCGAGTGGTTCTTATTCCCGCACTTACATCCTAATTCGTTGTCGCCATCCCTTCAAACCGAAGCGTTTTCAGCGCACCGTTGAAAACGCCTAATGTGAAACCAGCCTCAGCAGAATAGCTCGACATATTGAGTCGGTTCGACTAAAACGCATCGTGTGAGTCCAGCCTTATCTTTTCTATTTTCTGGCACAAGCGAGAGGAAGCTTATTGAAGTTGAGCGCGCAATTGCAATGAAATTTGCATTATAATAACTATTCCCATCGTTAGAAAAGAAAACATTGATATAATACTGCCTCAAAGATAATTAATTAGCGTTCGGCGATAAATATAATAGATCGGTCTTAATTGAAAAACACCTTTCGAAGCTGTTCCAGAATCGAACCGGCGATGACACATCGCCAAAGGCGTTATCTAAAAGACACGAACGGATTAGAATTTATCTTTTATCGCGAGTAGTAAATGGGTTCGAGAAAAAAGTGATTAAGCTGTGCCGTAACATAATTTCTATAATTGCTTATTCTGATAAGATAGCCAATTCGCGCAGGTGAACTGATCATCGAACAGTGCAAATAGATCCGTGACAATGTCTAAAACGCTCTTCGAGGTGGTGCTGGACGAGAAGCTGAAGTCAAAGGAACATCGGCAAGTATTTTTTTATTTTCACTTTTACACTTCGGGGTTGAAGTGAGGGGAACATAAGAAACTCGCGAAATTAAAGCACCGCTCCCACACACAAGATGTGTGGAAAGTTTGTTTTTGAGTAATTACTACATGAGATGTTGCAATTCTAACTTTTACTCAAACAAGTCATGGAAAAACTACTAAAAGATAAAACGATAGCCAGCTAATAATTTATATATAATAGAGAGGTATTAGTAGACCAGGGCTAGAGCCTTCAAAAACGGTAAAAAGTGAAAAAAATAGTAGGATGCAACCCATTAAAAAAGGAGTGTGATATGATAAAAATGAAAGGAAAAATAAATTACAGGCGATCTGAGTTCAGGAAGTGGGAGGGGGATGGTTAAAAATGGTTTATCTTGATTTTCGGCAAAACTACAAGTACTATGGAAAAAAATTAAATGGCAAAGTTGTAGGGTATAAAAAGGTCTACAACTTTTGTATTTGCAATTTTTTCACATATATTCAAAATGTATGTGAAAAATTCAAATAACCAAGTTCTTGGTTTTTCATTTTAATCTTTTTAAAAAAAAAGTTTTTCCTATGAAATTTCGTAAAAACTCGCCTTTTTATGTTCCAAATACACTGTGATTTATTTGATTTGAAATATTTATTTTTTCAC